TGTGGTACATTTATACAATGGAGTACTACATAGCAGAAAAAAAATGACATCTTGAAATTTGCAGGCAAATGGATGGATCTAGAAAATATATTGAGTGAGGTAACCCAGACCCAGAAAGACAAATTAACATATGTACTCACTCATACGTGGTTTTTAAACATAAAGCAAAGAAAACCAGCCTACAAATCATAATCCCAGAGAACCTAGACAACAATGAGGACCCTAAGAGAGACATAAATCTACATGGGAAGTAGAAAAAGACAAGCTCTCCTGAGTAAACTGGGGGCATAAGGATCATGGGGGTGGGTTGAAGGAGAGGGGAAGAGGCAGGAAGGGAAGCAGAGAAAAATGTATAGCTCAATTCTTATCTCAATCAAAATGGTAAATATTAACAAAATAATCAACAACAAAAGTTGGAGGAGATGAAGGGAAAAGGAAACCCTCATCCACTGTTGGTGGGTTTGCAGACTGGTGCAGCCACTATGGAAATCGGTATGGAGAATTCTCAAAAAGCTAAAATTAAATCTAACATATGACTCAACGACACCACTCCTTAGCATAAGCCCAAAGGACTTAACATTCTACTCCCCACGTTTATCGCTGCTCTATTCACAATAGCTAGAAAACACAAACACCTAAATGTTCTTCAACCAATAAATGCAGAATGAAAACAAGGTGCATATACACTATGGAATACTATTCAACTGCAAAGAAAAATAAAATCATGAATTTTGCAGGTAAATGGATGAAAATTTTTAAAAAGATCATATTGACGGAGTTACACCCAGACTCAGATGGACAATCGGTGCATTTCTCGCTAGGTAGCAGTAGCAGCACACATACCTTGGCAATAGCTCTGATTAGACTATGAGTTGATCAACTAGAGAGAAATCATGCCTGATCCTAGAAACCTAGCCAACTCCCTAGATGAAGTTATGCATCTTGAAGAAGAACCTTAACCATAACAACCATTTTTCCAGGCCAGGATAACCCCAAGTACACCCTAAATATTTGTTCTTATATCCACAGGTAAGCATAGTCTTCACCCCTCATCAAGGAAACTTCTTGCAACAGACACAGACCATTACAGAAAACCAATCAAAATGGAGAGTTGTGGAGCCCAGTCCCCAAAACTCCCACACCTAAAACTTGGGGAACATTGTAGAAGAGGGAAAAGACTGTAAGAGCCTCAGGATCAGGGAATTTGTTATCAAACTGTGTTTTCTCGTAATGTCAGAAGCTACATCCACAAAACCTCACCAACCATAACTGCCAAAACATGAGGTGAATAAGGGCACGCCAAAGTGGACGGGCTCAACCCTACACAAAGAACACACACAGCTGAGAGATGCTCAGAGTGGGAGACAGTCTTCCCCAGGGAAGACACACACCAACTGGTTCTTCAGCATCAAACTGTTAGCCCTTTAAAACACACATACAAGACTACACTAACTCTGATGTTTAGGAACACAGATGTAGATACACATACATGCATGCAAAAATTAATGAAAAATTTCAAGAATTTCAAAAAGAGCAAGGAGGGTTTGGAGGGTTTGGAGCAAAGAAAAGGAAGGAGGAAATAATGTAATTAATTATATTATGATCTCAAAAATAAAATTTTATACAAAAACAAACTGTAACTCCTCTTTATGGAGTAATTAATTCATAGTATGTTTATATTGTTTCTTAAAGACTAGTAAATTAGGAGCAATAAAGCAGAAAAAGAACAGCTTAGTAAAACTAGATACAAGATTATAAATGCAAATACCCAAGACCTAAAATCAAAGATAGAACAAATAAAGTATCTACAAATTCAGATAAAACTTAATATTCTTTTCTACCCTTTGTACACATTCACAGCAAGTAACAATCGTTTCCTACTTAATAGGAATGGAAATTCACACTGTAAATAAAGCTTCCCTCAAAAGATTTCAGACACTATGTTAAAGATAGTCTGAGCTACACAGAACATTAATTTAATACACATCATTTCATCCTTTTCCTAATACATATACAACTGAAATTTTAATAAAAACATTAAGTAAGACATTTTCTGTATTTATGCTTTAGAAATGTTATATTCTTTATTATATTATTCTATATTATCTTAATATAAGGAGTCTTTAAAAATTTTCATAGTGGCACACACACCTTTAATCCTAGCACTCGGGAGGTAGAGGAAGGCAGATCCTTGTGAGCTCAAGGCCAACTTGGTCTACACAGCAAGAGTTCCGGACCACCAAGGCTACAAAGAGAAACCCTGTCTGGAAAAGCCACACACACACACACACACACACACACACACACAATTCCTGATAGACAGAGAGGCACATGCCTGAAATCTCAGCAATTGTGAGGCTAAAAAAGGAGGCTCACAAATTCAAGACCAAGATGGGATACACAGGGAGACCCTACTCCTCTGTCTTTTGCCCTATAAATAATTTACATCTTAATTATGTATTTTTCTACTTTTACTCTTTTCTCCAAGTTATTGCAAATCCTATCATTTTAATTTTTAACAATGAGCTCATAAGGTAATGAGCCAAAACGTATCAACTTCATCATTCTCTAGAATTGATATTTAGTTCCCACTAATACTTAAAGTAAATCATGCTATAATGAGAATTTTTGTAGATTAAACTCTTCTGTGTTTCAGATTATTTCCTTGGCAATATCAATGAATACAAAGTTGTTTAACTTTTTCCAATTGCCATCTGAATTCTAATAGTTATAATATTACACAGTTCTGTCAGAGCCCACAAGACTACAATGAATACACAGCTGACCAACCAACAGGCAGATCCACGGAAAGCGTATACATACACGTCAACATGGAATAACCCATTTTGCAGAGCTGAGGGAACACTTGTCTTTTGGAAAAGTCACTGTCATTTCTGTAAAAATCTTGTGAAGTCATGATTCTCCCTTCAAAATGGGATTCATTCCCCAAACACCTCATCAGTGTGACTTCTGCAGGGCAAGGGAGTGACCTTGCTCCATCCCCACACCAAGAGGCCTTGGAGCAAAGGCATTCACTCTTTGTTCTAACAGTCAAATTTACATAGAATCAATCCCATAAAATCATCTGCTAACTGACCCCATAGAAATGTGTAAAGACAGGCACTGAGCAGTAAGGTAGTGCGCCCCACCTTTGCTAACAAACAAATCTGGGCATCCCCAAAGCTCGTTGTCACCAAAGAGATTTGACGAGGAGAATGGGTGAATTCAGGACTCAGGGATGCTTAGTAACTTTATCTAATGGTTTGGGATGTCAGGTACTTACCCTTGGATGCAGGCTCTTTCCTGGGTCGGGTCACCTGTTCACAGCTTTGCCAGGTTCTACCTGCCCTCTCTGTGATTTTGATATGCATATTATCATTGTCTTTGCCTAGGGAATTTTCCAAATTATGTCTGTAAAACTAGAAACCTCGTGGAGATGAGCCCTTATTCTGTTTCTTCTCCTTACTCTTTTTTGTTCTCTCTACTACTACTTCTACTTCTTCCCCTTACTCTCTTTCTTCCGTCTTCTCCCTATTCTTCCCCTTATTCTTTTCTCCGCACCCTTTCATCTCACTTTTCCTCCTCACAAGAAAAATAAAGAACATGCAGAGGTAATGTATTAATTCTTTACCCTCAGATCCTCACCTACTGCAGACATCCAACTGAGCCCTGAGGGGGTAGAGGCTGGTACTCAAGAACCCCCCCCATACAGTTTCCCACTAAATTTTAAGTTAATTTGATTATACCTCAGCTAGTAAGCCAGTCTTTTTCTAATATTTATTTTGTACTTTACTTAAATTACTAAGTCTCAACATTTTCCTTAAAGGTATCAACTAGCTATATTCCTTCACTAAATTACCTATCAGATGTCTTAGTTTTCCTTCTTTAAAAAAATAAGTGGGTAATTTTTAAACAAAGTTAATGTTTAAATTAACTGCCAGTCACTTCTTGCAATTATATTTTCTAAGACAATTTGCTTTCGAGTTTTGAGTCCTCTAGCTGGAGAAAAGGCTCAGGATTAAAAGCATGTGCTGCTCTTGTAAAGGGCCCAGTCAGTTCTCAGCACCCACATGGTGGCTCCAGTTCCAAAGGATCCTATGCCCACTCTGACCCCTGCAAGCATCATTTCTTTTGTACCGAGAGATAACTGATTTTAAGTCTGGGGTAGAGAAGTACCTACCTCACAGAAAAGAAAATTATTTTATTCTTTATTTTCCTTTCATTTTTCATGGCTTTTAAATTCTAATCTATCTAGATGGGATAGGAGGATCTAAACTGACTCTAAAATTTGGTTGTTTAACCAAATCTTTTTATTTAGCATCATCATATGTATTACATTCTTATGTAAATGCAGTCTGTACACAGGTTAATAATTTTGTCATTTGATTATAACCAGATTTTTCAGCCTTGGGTCCTCATGCTTGTGCAATATGCTGCAGTCTTACCCAATGATCCATCTCCCTAGTCCCACACTATGACCTTTTAATGTTACAGTATCTAAAACTGCCAGTACCTCTTCAATTTCTAATCTTTTTCAGAACTGTCTCTAGCATCTCTACTGGAAATAACACACACACTGATAGTACTCAAGCTTTCCCAGCCGAGAACATCACTATGTCTCTGCACAGTCCTGGAGTGCAGGTGTGTCCAGCACACTTGGTCTGTGCAGCGTTGAGTAGTGAACAGCTCCCACAGGCCTGTGCACCACAGGCAAACACGACCATCTGTGGTACTCCCAGCCCCAGTTCTTTGTTCCTTTAGTCAAATCTTTCCCACTGACTACAACTTTTTCATATTCTACTTCATATATTTGCCATTTCTAAGAAACTTTTCTTCTGAAAAGGATTTTAATGTGTAACCTAGTCTGAACTAAACTAACAATCCTCTTACCATGGCCTCATAGGCAGCAATTACAGGATGTGGCACCATGCTTAGGAAAGGCACCCAGCTTACAAGACTGTCTTTTAATAAGCCTCATTTTTGATTTTGTGAACACAAACCTGTATCCATCTCCATATTTCTCACTGTTTTTCTCTCGTCTACGTCTTTGCTTCTCCCGCCGTGCCTCAACTCGCCGCTTTTCTTCTTCTTCATTTTTAGGATCAGTTTTTGCTAAGATAATGGGGGAAAAACTTTATTTTAATACATTGTGATTCTTTATCTGCTTCATTTCTGTGATTACTTGCTACACATTTTTGTTTAAATCTGCTCATATTTTGCTTATCCTTACCAAAATGAATGGTATCTATAGAGCCTAAAACTAATGAATACCTCACATACTTTAAGAAACACTGAAGGAGCCTGACTCAGGTAAACCTCCAACTCCAATAACAGGCCTGGATGGAAGGAAAAAACTCACATTTCTATTGTGAGGGTGGTCCTAAATTTTTTTAAAGTGTGTGTCTATAGAATTCCAAAATAAAATCAACTTTCTCTTTTATTCTAGGACAATAGACAAAACATACAGCTTCCCGCTCAAACTATGCTGACGTGTGAATTCAGAAGTGTGAACAGTGCTGCCATGTTGTGTCAGCACCACCACTGCGGAGCTCCTGAACACGTTCACACTGCAGACAGTGACTGGAGCACTCCCCTCCCACTTCAGTTCAGCTCTAAGACATCAGTTATAGTAGCTACACCACGTGTCAGTACTCCACTGTTGAGTTAAGTACTGAGGTTATTTTAGTGCTTTATAGGAGCTTATCTGGCCAGGCGTGGTGGCGCACGCCTTTAATCCCAGCACTCGGGAAGCAGAGGCAGGCGGATCTCTGTAAATTCGAGGCCAGCCTGGTCTACAAGAGCTAGTTCAAGGACAGGCTCCAAAGTTACAGAGAAAAAAAAAAGTTATCTGTATATCCTTAACTCTTTGAACACCTTCACTCAGATTTTACAATAATCTTATCTATATTTAAAAAAATCTAATTATGTTACTTCAAATAAGAATATCTGGGGGCTGGAGAAATGGCTCAGAGGTTAAGAGCACTGGCTGCTCTTCCAGAGGTCCTGAGTTCAATTCCTAGTAACCACATGGTGGCTCACAGCCATCTGTAATGAGGTCTGGTGCGCTCTTCTGTCCTGCAGGGATACACACAGACACAAGGCAGTGTAGAGAGGGCAGGAAGACACCCAGAGACCCAGCCCAGTGTGCGGCACAGTGTATAAGCATGAGACGGAGAGAAGAGAGAAAGAAGTGCTGTGGAATAACCCTTTTGTACAGTGAAGATTTGTTACTCGGGTTGGTTTAATAAAAAGCTTACTGGCTGGTAGTCAGACTGAAGTATAGGCGGGACAACCAAACTAAAGACACTGGGAAGAAAAAGGGCAGAGTCGAAGGAGTCGAGAGACACAGAAAGAAGCAAGATGAGCGTCCTGTGTTGAAAGAAGGTACTGCCACATGGCAGAGCGTAAGTAAGAATTATGGCTTAATTTTAAATGTAAGAGTTAGCCAGTAACAAGCCAGAGTTATTGACCAAGAATTTACAAGTAATACTAAGTCTCAGTGTCAGTTATTTGGAAACTGACGAGCGGGAAAGAAAGGTTTGTCTAGAGAGAAGCACCAGTTTGAGCACCAGCTATGAAGAGAGGCCATCTGGAGAAGACAGCATAAAGAGAATGGGCACCCCCCACGAAGTCGCCCAAGGGTATGGTAAGTCCCGGTCTAAGCTGATGCTGGGGGCCATGTCTGGGTCCCTGGCCATGTGGCAAGCAGGGGTTTGTGCCCATGACCACAGCCCACATCACCACCCAAAGCCATGTGGATATCCCTGGTCTGGACTGCTACTTGGGACTATGTTGATATTCAAGGGCTGCACAGAGTTGGCCCCACCCCTCAATGTCTGCAGCACTAAGGAGAGTTGTTCCTACTCTGCCAGCTGCAGCTCTCTGGACAGTGGGCCCTGCACTTCGCCCACGCAGCACCACAGAGCTGACTCTGACAGTGTGGATGCAGGGGAGCTGGCAAGCTAACCAACTCAGCCACCACCCAGGTCCAATCCAGAACTATGAGCTAACCCACCCCAGCATCCACCCCATCTATGAACTGCCAGAGCATGAGAAGTGGCTGATCCTGCAGATCCAAAGCTGTAGGAGCTCCATGACACAGGGCAACAGGATGGCCAAGAGGAGTTCTAGTAAAGATCTCGTATTGATAGTGTAGCAAAAGCCAGAGGCCTGGAACCAGATTAATAACCCATTGCAATGAATATTTGCAAATAAAGATACATGGATTAAAGAGTATACTGTGTGACTGACTGTGACACACTACAGTTTCTGTGACAAGATTTTTCTTTTGTGCTTGTCTTCTGAGGGGGTTGCAAGAGCAGATATAAAGGGACGGGAGATGAGTGGCTTGGGGTACATAGTGTGAAATCCACAAAAAAAAATCATAAGAAGTCTTAAAAAAAAAGATAAAGAACAACACAGCAAGAAGCCCACAATTGTCTTCTGCCATCTGCATATGCACACGTAGATATGCATAATACACGTGCATATACATCACACACACAAATAAGGAGGTGGGCTGGGGAGATATAACTCAACGGGGAAAATGTTTGCCAAACAAACATAAAGACCCAAGTTTAGAACCCTAACACCCACTTAAAAAGCTGGGCAGGGTGACAGACACCTGTCATCCAAGCACTGGAGAGGTGGACAGAGTAGGAGCTTGCTGGCCAAACAATCAAACCAAAATTGGTACGTTCCAGGGTCACTACAATAAATAAACACCTGAGGAAGATGCCTAATGCCTTTGGTCTCCGCGTACATGTGGGAGGATTGCTGAGTTGGTGTTTGTGCTGCCAAAGCTTGACCACTGTGGTAGTTTGAATATAACTGGCCCCCATGATCTCATAGGGAGTGGGCACTATTAGAAAGTGTGGCTTTGTTGGAGTGGGTATGGCATTATTGGAGGAACTGTGTCACTGGGTGGGGAGGGGCTTTGAGACTTCCTATGCTCAGGATACTGACAAGTGTTATCAGCCAACTTCTTGTTGCCTGCAAGACCTGTAAGCACTCTCAGAGCCAGCACATCAGGCTGCACACCCAAGTGCTGAGATGACAGGGTACACCAGCACACACAATTTCTTTTCACTGTCTACTAATGGCAGCTTGGAAGCACAAGTTTTAATTTTGATGCAATCTACTTTATTCATTTTTATTTGTTGTTCATCTTTTTGGTGTCCTGTGTAAAAATTCCTTGTTAAATCCAAAATCATGAACGCCTGCCTATGGTTTCTGCTAAGAGACTTCTGAGATTTGTTCTGAGAAGCAGTTCTTGGTGTTAACTGTGTATAAGGCTAGTCAGCTAGTCCAACACTGGTACGAACTGTTCTCTCCCCCTCTACATAGTCCCGGCAGCCTTGTTTGGCTCCTTTCCCATTTCTCAACTCTCCCCCACAGCTCCACAGTCATTGTGTCAGGACCACTCTGTCCCGATTGTCCTTGCTCTGAGCTAAGACTGCAGACTGTGATGTGTGAGTCCCTGGTCAGTCCAAAGCCTGAGAGCTCTGCTACAGTCCAAATTTAGGAGCTAACACCTTCTGGACAAAATGCCTTCCAATCCCACCTAGCTTTCTCTTAATTTAGATTTCCTTTAATTTCCTTCACCACTGTTTGTAGCTCATGAAGTTTTGGATTTTTAAGCTTATTAGTAGTGTGTCACTTCCCTCAGTACTGTCAAAAATTATCTTATTACCATCTTCATACGGGCTGGAACTTTCCAACACTCTGTAATAACAGAAATAATGATTCTAGGAGATCTCATCTCCAGAAGACTAAAAAAGCAAACCATTTTCTAGAGGAAATAGTTTTACCTAGTGCCAAGCACTTGAAAAATTATTTGCCTTTGTCCTGATACAGAAAATTTTATACATTATGACATAAATACTCCTCCAATAATAAACATAACATCCAAGAAAGGGGTCTGAATCAAAATCATCTGCCAAAATGATTTTTTTAAGCCTTTTAAAAATACATTTTGCTGGGTATACTGGCACACATCTTTAATCCCATCACTCAGGAGGCAGACAAGTGGATCTCTGTGAGTTCAAGGCCAATGTGGTCTACATAGCAAGTTCTAGGCTACCCAGACCTTGAAAGGAGGGGGGTAATTAAGGTTCCAACACACAAATTAGAGAAAAATAAACTGACCAGTGATGTGAGAGACTGCACTTTCGTTTTCCAACCAGTGCACATTAATTTTAAAAGTACTTTGGGGGGGGGGGGCTCAGAGGTTAAGAGCACTGACTACTCTTCCAGAGGTCCTGAGTTCAATTCCCAGCAACCACATGGTGGCTCACAGCCATCTACAATGAGATCTGGTACCCTCTTCTGGTGTGCAGGCATACAAGGAAGCAGAATGTTGTATACATAATAAATAAATCTTTTAAATAAATAAATAAAGTACATTTGGGGACTTGGCAAGCAAGATCAGCAAGGAAAGACACCTGCCACAGAGCCTGATGAACCTGAGCCTGAGTTCAATCCTGGGACCTATAAGGTAGAATGACAGCAGTAACTCCCTCAGGTTGCTCTGACCTTCCACAGGCATGCTGTGGCATGCACCTGCCCATATACATACATCATACACATCCATCCATATATGTGTGTGTGTGTGTGTGAGTGTATACATATATATAAATACATTTGAACATAACAACTGACTAATAACTACATAAGGGGATACTATGCACTTTTCTATATGAACACTAGAGCATCTTAAACCATGTGCTCTATAATGTAAAGTGCCCTGAGCCACAGCCAACAGTCTTTTACTTACCAGGTGATTTGCTGAGGTTCATCTTCTCCATAGGTTTTGCTAGCTTAGGTTTCTTGATAAAGGTTCCCCCGGGCTTATTAAATATTTGCATCATTTTTCTTTTTATTCCTCTTGTAGTAGCAATCGGCACACTGGTAGATTTGTTTTGATAGTCAACAATAATTCCAGGTCTATGAATGCTTCCAAAATCACCCATATGCTGTAAATTTGTGAAATCAAGAAACATTAGCATAATATAAAATATGGATTAATATAAATTTTTGTCATCTAGATACTAGTTTTCACCTGAAAATTCTGAGAAACTTAACTGAATTTTACATGTTCTCTCTGAGAAAGCACATATAAAAATGTATAAATTATTACATGAACTCAAATCCAATGCATTAGTATTCCCAGTATTACAGAGGTGGCTAGGTCCTATTTTTTAATTGTTACAATTCAGAATTATGTGAGACCATAAACAACACCATATGCCTGTCAGAGGGTCACCACTTGTACAGCTCTGACAACTCCTCTTCAGAGTTCCTACTTGATGTTTTCCCATCAAAGACCTTAAAAGAAATCTTTCATTCTACTAAAACCTTGCTTAAAACTAAGATACACAAAGATGATCATATCTGTAGTGTAAAGTAAAAAGGATGCAGAAATGATGTGGGTTCTCCCTGCTGGGAATGGGATGAGCAGCGAGATAGAGCACTAGTATGGAGAGGAGAGCACAGCACACCCATGCAGCGCCTTCCAGGACACTTCAGAGGACTGCACCTGCCATTCCCCTCGTATTCGCACCTCAAGAGACAGGTGATACCCACACCCCAGGAGCAAGTTTAGACTCTGCGTCCCTTCCTCTTCTCCTGTCCTTAACAAAGTCCACTACACCAAGAGGTCATGGTCACAGAAATGTACTCTGCTAATCTTTCTTTCAGAAGGTAAAGACTGAGGAATAATCTGAAGAGAAGGACCCAGTGGGAATTGTACAAGGAAGGTTAAAAGAAGAGTCTACTGGTTCGTCTACTTGGCTAACAGAAGGAAAGAAAGAGAACTCCACTTAGAATAGAATGGTAAATAGAAAGTACAGGAATACTCAGTTTTATATCAAGAAAACAAAATTGATACCTGAATCCTCATTAGGAAAAAAATCCTTTGCCCAAACTATTACACAGAATGGAATAGGTTAAATGGGTTTCCAAATTTTCAAACTAGAATGTATTTTCAATTTCAAAACCCAAAGCCTACGACTCCAGCTACTTTTAATTAACCTGCAAGTTAATCATCAAGTATGGTGGACCAACACTGCTGCTTACACATTAATATATGATTACAAATATCTATCTAACCTAGGAGATTTGCATAACTGTCTCCATGTAATTTATATGGACACATCAGAAAAATCTTCATTATGAATATTAAAGGTGCAATGCATTTTAAGTAAGTAAAGAGTGACTACTAAAAATACAAAATTTCTACACAAATAAGACAAACTACACTGATGACCAAAGGCTAATGAACAGTCAAAAACACGTGCCCTACTACAGTTTTTATCAGAATACTTTCTTCTACACGGAGAATAATAAACACAACTGATTTTGAAAAAAACATCTTATATTACAAAAATATAAATATACAGTGGTATTTATATGACCAAACTACATAATCCTGTAATCTATGCACCCTTACTAGGTAAAAATTTATCAAGTTACCCAAGACCACAAGCATAATTGCTACAAAGTATATCCTTGAAATTAAACACCTATGGACCAACATATTTATCCAGTTAGGCAATAACTTGCAATGTATCACTTCCTAGGAAGTAACTGTAAACATATATACAAATAAGAGATTCTTTCTCAATAGAGTTAGGGGAAATGAAACAATCACCAACAGGACATACAATAAGAGAGCAAGTTAGCAAAAAACTACTACTGATCACAAATCACTCTACCGTCTGTTACACATATCAACTTCTTCACCACGCAAACATGGCTAAACTGCCCTGAGCTACCACTGGCTTTTGATCTCTAGTGTGTTTAACAGGAAACATGAACTCTGAGGGGTTCTACTTGCTAGAGTTTACTAACAAAGGGTAAATGTTTTATTATACATTGCACCTTTAACCTACTCAAAACTCAAAAAGGGTTGTTACCTCTTACAATAATCCAATAGCTATCTCACTAGCAAAACTGCTAGTGTTTACAAGAAAAAAACGCAACTCCTTTTAACCCCTTTTAGACCAAACCTAATATCCTCACCTTTTTCATAAAGGGAGATTTGCCATAACTTCATCAATAATCATCTCACACTGCAACTTATTTTCTGAAGTGCTGGAAAACTTTTGCAGCCAACCTAAAACTTTATGACTCAGCCTCCGCTTAAAACACACTGGGACAAACAGTGTTTGTTCTCATTGAAAACCATGGTCTTGAAAGGGTTTAAAAGAGTGACTATTGAAAAGAATCTGAAAAGATTCTGTTGTACTTACTCCTCGGCCTCGGCCTCTGCCTGTTGATGGTCCTCCAAAAGCATCATAGTTTCTGCTTCCAAACGTACTTTCAGGATAAGCAGGCGTTCCTCTCCCCCGAGAGCCTACAGGTGCAGGCTTCATATGGGGTGAAGAAAAACTGCTGTAGGAAGAGTAATTCTCTCTTCCTCTGTCCTCCATAAACCCAGGCCTCAATTTTGAACGGGAGTAAGGTTCTTCCCAGCTAGACCCGCCCTGGTTTCTACCTCCGAAAGAGTCAAGGCTATTCCGGTAGGAGCTCTCAAATCGACCACCATAACTACCTCCGAAGCGGCTTTGTTCGGGTTCATTAAAACCATAGCCAGATCTGTACAGATCTCGCCCACCCAGAGAAGACCTGGAGTCGTAAGACTCATAAGGTCCAAACCTGGAAAAGTTGCACAGTGAGGGAAAAAACAAAAGTAAGCTTACTAATGTTAGACAATTCAAAAGACAAGTTATCAGATGACATTTATCAACTAAAATTCATTTACACCAGAGTGGTTTGCACAACTGCACTTCTGCTCACACTTGATTAGGGCTGGGCAGTCCAACATGAGACCAGACAGAAAGCTATCTGAGTCAGTTCTAAATATAAATTGAGTTCAGTTAACCTTAGCTTTAAACTCTGCTTTTTAGCAGCTCTTCTATTTTATTTTAATTTGTCTGTCTAACAATTAAAGCCCAGCCCTAGTCTTAGAAAAGGTTATTTGCTAAAGTTCACCAACTAATTAAAGTTTTTTTTAATTCTTCCCTAATAATGACAATTATAAAACATTTACAACATTTTGGTTTTTTAGGGACACAAAGACTGCATAGGTGGGAGAGGGGTCTTTGTGATACTGAGTGATCCTTTGCACCTCAATAATCTTTATCACAAAGCTGCCTATAGTAATCAAAGCTGAGGAATTAGGTTATAAAGTTTGGCATTCTGCCAAACTTCACCCAAGGCCAATCCTTAAATAATCTGATAGACTAGTAAATCTAACAAATCTAGAAGAATAAACATGTAAAATAGAACATAAAAGTAAAAGACCACCAACATGTACCCTCTACATATGAATATTCAAAGCAGATGAGAAAGAATTCATTTTATAAGGCCTTCAATTATTTGAAAAAGCATTTCCTATCAAGAAACTATCACTTTAAAACTACTCTAAAAGGTAAGCACACTGTCTCAACAGAAAAAAAAAAAAAACATTTTACTTATCACAAATCCAAAACATGGATTACAGAATTGCTTATTATCTTACAACAGTTTTTAAAAAGCTCACAATTACGCAAGAGATGAATGATAACTACAGAAATAGTTTATGCACAACACACAATGTAAGAGGGCAATAACTGATAAACTAAAACATTTAATGATGTTACATTAGTCGGTGATTTACAGGTCACTCAATAGAAGATACTACTAGCCATATACTATTCCTCCCAACTGCACATTTCAAAGCACTACGTAAGGACAGTAATGAGCTATTCTCGTGACTGTACTCTACTGTAAACCACAGGGACAAAGAAAGCAAGAATCCTCAAGTCCATCATAAGGAACCAGATCCTTCAGTTTATGAAGGACAATGATCTCAAATGTCTAACTAGTTTACTTTGTATTTAAAAGCAAGTTTTATATCTCAAAACACAGACCCCCCCCCTTAAGGTTATTAAACATGACCAGTCCTAAGACCTGTAGCTGTTTAATTAGTGTAAGTCTCAAAGAATATCAACAGTAAACTAGAAATAGTCTAGACTGTAGTTCAAGGTGCCCTAATTTTTAAGCGCGGTGTCTGGATGTAAGCAGCAGCTGCCAGTCAACAACCTGGACACGATTTTAAGAACACTTCTACTACTACATACGTTCTTCAAACTTGCTTTAAAAGTAAACTTAAGTGAAATCTATCTTAAATGTGTCTCAGAAACTGAAGGCTCCTAGCCTGTTCAGTTAAAGTCACTCTGGGCAGACCATTCGGCAGTTACACAGTGCCCACATTAGAAAAAAATTCTCTTCAACAATTAAGAAAAATAATTCACAAATAAATATTTCCAATAACATTTTGAACAGGACATTTTGACTGATAAGAAATTAAAAATAAACTTTTTCTTTTTAAAGTGTCCACTGTTAAAGAATGTCTTATTCTATTACACCAAAATAAGAGATAGATAATGTCCTCCGAAAATAATGTCTACCAATGTGACTAAGAAAATTTTTATGCCCATTAATTAGCATCTTTAAATATTTAAGGTGATCCAATACCAAACAACAAAGTTCAAAAGAGCAAAGTATCATAAAAGCCTAAGGAATACTTAATACATCCAGAATCTTATAGTTCTAATTATTTGGCCAAGTGATGAAGCAATTTACCTGCTACCCCCACCACCACCACTGTGATTGTCCATGCCATAGGACTGGTTTAGGTAGGAATCCATGGATCTTTGACCCCCATAGGATCCATGGCCATAGTCACGATCCAGCCCTATAAGAGTTTAAAAAAAAAAAAAAAATTAAATGATGCTCACCTTTACTGGCACTCAAAAGAAGAATTTTTAGATAAATATCCTGGAATGTCAGACCTCCATAAGATCCAGGGCCATAATCACGATCCATTCCTAAAAGAGTCAATAAGAGATTATGAGTAAAATAAACCATCTTCTTTACAAAATTTTTTATTAAATACAATATATTCATACAAATCATCTAACACAATAATTTGCACTAACATTTAACTCAATATTAAATATAAAAAATAACAAAATGATAATTTATTAAAAACTATTATTTGCTAACAAAGCTTCATATTTCAAAGAAAAATAAACTATCAACTACAAAATTCTACATTAAAAATATTTTCAGTACAAGCATATTTAGTGGACTAGAAGTCTACTACTAAAATGCCTTGTATCTGGAATTTAGCACTACAGCACAAAAAAAGATAATATATAACTTTATGTATAACTACTAGGCTCAAAAAGTCAGCATTTAATAAATATCAAGAGGTATTTTTTGCCCTAAGTATACTATAATGTAAATATACTACACTTGTTTTTTTTACTAGTTGCTCCCAAAATGTCTAAAAACTCAACTATATTTTCAACTAGAAACATTCAGCTGATACAGATACTCTAAGAAGTAACACCACAAACTAAGACCAATCTTTGGTCCTGTACCTGAGAATAATACAGCCCCAACAAACACTTCAATTCTCAAATCTTTTGAATAAAAGAAATGAGTGTGAATTTTCCTAACACAAACACAAAAATTCTAGTGTAGGAGTATACAAACTTATACTAGAAAACTGAAGGTCATAAAATTGGTGAGTATAAAGATGAGTATTTAAATGTTTTCTATAAAATCCCTTAAAATGCCTCATTACCATTCATCCCATATTTTTATTATAAATACAACAGTTGTACTTACAATCATTTAATGTTTCTAGTCTGAACAAAGATGGTGAAACTTTACATAAATACTATTCATAACTTTGCCTTTTAAGTCTGAAAGTGACCTTAGTCAAATTTAATCTTTTCACTTTTTAGATTTGCAAACTCAAGTTCACAAGAGAAAATGGGTTTCCCAGAATCATGTAAGTATTCTCCTAGCTAATCTCCTGTTATTTTTTTCTACATAAAAAGTCATTTTTTTTATTTCAATCCAAGTAACTATTTGGAATCTTTTAATTTTTCACATTTATTTCAATTACTAAACTATGCAAGAAAACTTTCCCTGGTAGTCATTTTTCTTCTATTTACAGAACCTGTGAACTTTATACAGAAGCACAACAGGGCACTGCTGTGGCTTCACCTTCAATGTCTAATTTTAATGCCTCTTAGAGGAGCAGTTATCATACAATGGTTTGCGGACCAGACAGTTCTGAGATCCATGAGACCAAAACTATTTCTATAAATAACAAGGATATTATTTCCGTTTTCTCAGTACACACTAAAAGTATACAAACATTATGGATAACTAGCATTTCAGTACAAATCAAGGAACTATGAAGCACCAGACTAATCTAGCAGTCATTATAGTAATGTCAAACACCCAATGAAAAACAACCAATTTTTAAATCACCTTTGCTTTAGAATGCCCTTGACAGAGTAATTAATAATTTTAAATCCTGGCCTTTGATTCAATTACATTTTTTTGTTACTCAATGTAATGAAACAGAAAATGCACACAAAGCAATTGTGCTACATGACAAAGAATCACAGTTCTCTCCAAGAAAAGTCACTGTACCATGTTTGCTTTATGACTCTAACTACTTTTTATGAAGAGCACTTTTCAGTAGGAAGACTGGAAGACAAAAACTATGGTTTTCATGGTCCTATAAACTTGGTCAAAAGCCCATGTGTGGGGAGGTAACAGGCCTTAGGATCCTATCCCTGCCTGTGGTTTTATTAAAGGGACTTGGTGCATACCCCGTTTAAATATTTATGTTTATAGTCATACAATACTGCTTCTCTTACAGCCTTGGTCAGAGAAGCTTCTTTACAGTGGAGAGATCCGTAACTGGTCAAAGGACTGAGCAAAAACAACTGTTGAGTGTCCAACTCTATACAAGACTTCAGTACGATCCCCTCCACGGCTCAGGGGCCACTGTGGAAGACACTGCGGCAGGAGGAAGAGTGCAGGAAGTGCTGTCTGTCCCTGGACACGACACGGCAGCTGTGCTGACTGCACACAACTGAACATGTCCACAGTCCACCATGCTGGAGATGAGCTCAGGAAGCACCATCAGCAGGCTGAGGAACTACTGGCCATTAATGGCTGCTCACAATGGGTCACAGAAAACAGACATGAAAATAGAAGGGGAGCCGGGCGGCGGTGGCGCATGCCTTTAATCCCAGCACTCGGGAGGCAGAGGCAGGCGGATCTCTGGGAGTTCGAGGACAGCCTGGTCTACAGAGCTAGTTCCAGGACAGGCCTCCAAAGCTACAGAGAAACCCTGTCTTGGGAGAAAAAAAAAAAAAAAGAAAGAAAGAAAAGGAAAAAGAAAACAGAAGGGGAACTTGGGAAGAAGAGGCACACAGAGAACAGAAGAAATAGAAAGGATAATGGAATGACTTTAATAGTAAGACATTTGCATCATGTATGAAATTGTCAAAGAATAAAATACATTTTACAAACCCATGGTTTTCAGAAATGGACACTCAGCAAACATTTTCTCACATATGCATTGAAACTGTTGCTACGAAGAAAAAACCTATTTTGCTGCTAACGACAAAATTCATACTTCAAACTGAAAAATATCAAAACTCTTAAAAACTTTTATCTATCACTGTCAACCTGACAGCTCCCCAACACTTAGAAGGCTTTCTAAGCAGCTGGTGGCATTCGTATGGCTCTTATATTGTACACTAAAACCTGTCACTATTTGGAAAGTCTGTATAATTCATTAATGCAGAGTCAGTCTTCTGCTTGAAATCACAAGGTATTTGCTGCAGCATTTGCCTGTACCTCTCATACAGAGGATGAAAATAACATCAATATTAAATTCCCTGCAAGACCTCACATAAAAAGTAACCTCAGCATTAACTTTAGCCACATACAGAAGCCAAGGTTTAGTTATTTCTGCTAGTCTCTGAGTTAGTGGTGGCTTGTGTCAGCGTCTCTACTGACTCACAAAGACCTGGCCCTGTGCAGAACACCAGCACAGCTTTTCTGTCTCAGCACTTCCCACTTACTGTGCACACACTACAACTGGTCAAAGATGGAGGGTCTACCAACATTATCAGTGTTGGTATCTAGTGCTACCCCACCTAGCACTAGAGACACAGGTGCATGCACACCTGTAAAAAGCTGTGCCTGGCTCTTTACGTGGTGACGGGGATTCTAACCTCTCGTGCCCATGCTTACACAAGTGCCCTTACCCACTGAGCCACCTCCCCAACCCCAACTAGTTCTTGACCAGAAACAACTCTCCCACACCACCTCCCTCCTTCCTACAACCCGCCAATGAACACTGAAATGTCTGTAATAAAAAATTCTAGTTGTTACAACTAGGCAGGAGGTGCTACTGATATCTACCACACAGGGATCAAGGATGCTGCTAACATTCTGCAGTGAACTCACAGAACAGAGAGACATAGACACACACAGGGAAGAACACAGACAGACAGACAGACAGACAGACAGACACACACACACACACACACACATTACCCTACAATAAAAATAATAGCTAATCCAAAGTGTCAATAGTGCCCAAGTAGAGAAAGCATCTACGTTCTGCCCCGTCACCACTGAACCCCGACTACCTTACAACCTCATCTCCCACTCCACTCCCAAGGCTCCCTGCTGTTCCAACAACGGACACCCACGTTTCCACTGCTCCTTTACCAGGAAGGCTTTTCCGCTGTATCTGCAGCGCTCACTAAACACCTCTTCCAGGTCTTCATTTTCGTTGATTCTTATACATAAACAGATGGCCTTTGATTTTTCAATGCCTTCTGGCTATACCTCACCTCTCGAGCCTTATCTTCACACTGCTCAGCAAAAAGAATCTGTTCTGGTCAAACCAGTCTTTGTAAATTCTTTGAAGCTCAGTTTTCTCAGAACTTTTCCATTTGCTCTTTACTTAAGAAGAGAATGAGTAAGAAAAACACTGTAAATAAATAAAAATCCTCCTCAACGCGGTGTGGAGAAAATCTGTATCAGTGCCATTCTTTCAGTAGAAACAGGAAACCCAAGGCTAACAATATATTATGGGCTTCATTTGGAATCCATAAATCTTTTATTAGTATTTACTAAAGTCTGTTACATTGTTGGTCCAGACTGTATCAGAGTTGGCATCTTCACTTCCTTTAATTCTATGCTCAAATGTTCTTTTTTCTGGACCTAGCAACTGTAAAATCACAGTGCAAACAAACAACCTGTCTTCTCCCTGCATTCCTTTTCTTCCCAACAATTTTTATCTTCTAACACAGAGTATGTTATTTTTAAAACTATTTTCTGCATGTTTCATCCCTTTAGACTGGAAATTAGTTCCACAAAGATTCTGTTCACAGATTCTCTGTTCCCAACTCTCAGAACATTACCTGGGTACACAGCAACTAAAAAGTACTGTTAAATGAAGTCAAATGCCCTGAAATTAAGTTCCTCATTTATAAAATGCAAACAACTAGGACCTCAAAGTATTTTCAAGTAGTGGACCTTAGCCAGAGGTAAAAGCCAGTACCTTTTATTCAAAGTACTCTGCCCACAAAGTCAGGGACCCTTTGCCTAAAATTAAGCGCCAGGTGGTCTAGGCTACCACCTATACAATATTCACTTAGAAAATGTTTCTAGGGAATTATGACAATATTTTCTAATGAGAATCACTACTGGAATTATAGTACAAAAACATACAATTGCAGTAGTAGGGATTTTGTAATACATCAATATTGACATAAACTGACTTATACGATTCTGAATTCCAAACAGTATCTTTAGAAATCAAACTCTAGTTCTCCAGGAAAGCCTTCCATCATTCTAAAACCCACTAGTCTTACTTACTCCACTTTAAAATTTTGGATTCATTTTCTACCCATTATTAATAGCTTCCACATTCTGTTAATTTCCTACAAGAAACATATTAACATTTTTAAAATGAGCATTATCATTTCCCTACATTCAAATGTATTCACCAGCCTCCAATCTGGCCTAACGTTGACACAAAATCAAGCCTCCGGTCACTGCTCTCAAAAACTTATCTTCAGCGCTCACTAAAGACATCCTAGTTTCCACACGACAGCAGCCTTTTTCTCAAAGCAGTATCCCAAGTGTCTCTTCGTCTTTAGAGATGATAGATTAACCACATGCATAAAAATGGGTTTGGAGAGAGAGCTCAGCAGCAGAAAGCCAGAGCAGTGCTGCTCATGGGAGGACGCCGGTGTGGTTCCTAGCACACCAAACTGCACTCAACTCCGTGACTCAGCTCCAGGGGATCCAACGCCCTCTTCTCGACTCCAATAGCACTGCGCATACTTGGTACACATATAGAAAAGCAGGCACATACACATAAATAATGCTTTTCATAGCACAGTCTTTGGTGGCACATTTGCTTTGGTTTCCTGACTAAACATTTGGTAAAATAGTTGGATTTTGTATTTCTCTGGTAGTCAGAGAAATTTACCACAACTCCCTCATGCCTCTCATATAATGGCTTTGTTTTGTTTTAACCTCCAAACTGTTCTGTGCTTCTCATCTTGTACAGCAGGACTTTAACTCTAACAGCTATCAAAACAATAGGCATGGTGTCCATACATCTCTTATGATTACAGCTCATCACAAGCCAACACCAGGTTTCTATTAACAGGATTCTCCATGTGTTCCTCTGGACAGTTCTCTATCACTCATTTGGTCACTGAAAACTGGCCTCAGCAGCAAAGCCAGCATGCATTCCAACAAAAGTGGCACAGAATCAAGAAAGGATCTACTTCATCTATCTGTGTAAGTGAACACAGATGTCTGACTCAAAAGTGATTCAGACAGTGTCCTGCCATCAGTCATTCAGAATGTAGTCAAAAACTAAAGAAAAAAATCCTAAATAAAAGAAAACAGATACAAAGTCAAAGTAACCCAACTTCCTCTTCTGATCCTAAGTTCAAAACTATACACAGAATTGAAGATACCACTCAAGCAGAATAGTTGACAGTACTCATGAGAGTTCCAGCAAGTGTGCACGTATATTCACACACACACACCCACACACACCCCCACACACCAGAAAAACAAGCACTATAAACAGTACGACATTAACACTGAGATTTATGAATCAAGAGTCAAACAATATCTGAAGCAAGGTCAGTTTTTTGTACTGACAGTTGTGCTTTCATATATATGGAAATATATCTGTCCCCTCAACACAATTAAAAGGAAATTAAAGAGGATACTCACCATTAAAGCCCTGGTAAGTATTCCTGGAAGCAGAGTGTACGTAATCTACGAAGACATTCAACAGAAAGGAATTAGTGCAATGTTAGCAAAATCCTAAATCATACTCATCTACTCACAATCAATTTTTAAACATCATTAACTCAATTACCAAAAAAAACTGAGGTTAAAAATAATTACAAATACCCATTTGGAAAAACAAATTGGTCCTTCACTGCCTGGTGGCAATGTAAAAACTAATTTACAGTCCACATATGTAACAGCCCAAAGAGTAGACCAGGACTAATCACACAGAGAAGGAAAGCAGGCTATGTATCAACTAATGCAAGAAGGAGGGAGATATGTGTCGGGCGGTGGTGGCACTGGGGAAGCAGAGGCAGGCAGAACTCCGTGAGTTCGAGGCCAGCCTGGGCTACAGAGCAAAGGAGGAGGCACTTTAGAGACCGTTTCAAGGTCAGCGTCTGCTTTACCACTCAGTCTGTTCTCCAAATACTTCAGGAGCCTGTCTGAAAAACACACATGCATTTATGTATGAGTGTGTGGGCTGTATCCATCCAGGCAGAATGTTAAAGCCTTTATTTAACTCTACAAATAAAGCCCGAAGGAGCAGAATTTAATACAGGGCTTCTGGATATAACCAAACCCTGGCACTTAACACAGGATCAGATTCGGACCCATTCGACTGCAGCAGTGGAGGCTGAGGGCGGCAGTTCAGAGGTCAGCACTGACACAGCTTGTTATTTTATTATGATAATGATGGTAAATTCGGTATGTTTGCTTTCATTTTCAACTCTCCACAGAAAATGTATTTCCTTCCTTACCGTTCCCACTGTCCTCCTCCCACGCGGGCACACACACACCACAAGGTTAACTTCTGGTACCTCGTACGCGCGCACACGCGTGCGCACGCGCACACACACACACACACACACACACACAAAGTTAACTTCTGGTACCACGTAAGCTGGCAGTGTCATCAAACTTCGGTATGGTATGAAAACATAATACAGTTTTCTTTTTGCTGTCAGCTCTGGCCACGGCACATAGTTGCAATTTAGAGTCACCTGTATCAGAATGAGTCCCAGCCCAACACTAAAGCACCAACAGGGCAGGACACTGCTCTGAAGAGCTGAACGATTTCAAAGCAACTGGAAAAGTACACCAAAAAGGGGGACTGTGTCTCCTTTCCTAGACTTATTATGTCTGACAGCCTTAACTGCTTGTAGCAAACCAAAAATCAAAAGCTCATTCAATGCAACACAAGCTAAGATCACATCTTATTCATGTTAAAGACTAATTTTTTTGTGGAGGCAGAGGCTTCCGTACAAGAAACAAACCGGTTTTATTTAGAAATCAGTACTTGCTCCAGATTACACTCAGTGTAACCTGTCCCATGTCTCCCTAACACTGTCACTATATACCACTTTATGTTGACACTAATGCCTATAAAACTTGAGCAAGATTTGATGGTGTCAGATTAACTGTACTTCATGGCCCCAGACATAAGGAAGGGACGGAGGGCTGAAAAGCATCCTTACGTTTATTTATTCAGGAAGTCCCACCCGGGCTGCTGTACACCGACCTGAACGTGAAGGGCATCCGGGGCTCGCTGTGTCAGAATCCCAACCCAAGCAGCGTGCATACGCCAGCCCCACCCCCGCCTTAAAAAGTGCACCGGTTCCCGGGACGGTTTCGGGCGAGGCGATTACCACGCAGGTAAAAACGGGGCGAGTTATTAAACAGCCCCGTCGCAGATTCCGTCTCCGGGGGAGATCGGAGCCCACCCCGATGGAACGCTTGACATTCGTCTCCCACCGAGAAGCGTCGCACGAGGCAGCCCGCCCGTGCCGAGGTTCGGCTCCACCCGCCACCCGCTCGCTGCCCCCGCGAGCCCGGGCCGCCCCCTCCGCGCAAGGCCGGGAAGTTGCGGGCGGCCCTGGGCGAGCCCGAGGATGGGGCCCAGAGGCCGCGGAGCTCGCAGCGGGGACGACCCGTGGGCAGCGGGGGGGGGGGGGGACGCCCCCCACGCCAGGCCGGCCGCGGACCCGCGTGCGGCTCCCGGCCGAGAAGCGTCCGGCCCGGGCCCGCCATCGCCGCGCGCGCGGCCCACAGAACAAAGCCACACACACGGCCATCTTGAGGCGGTAAACAGACCCCCGGCGCAGGCCCGCTCGCCCCGCGCGCCCGCCCGTCCGCCCGCTCACCGTCCTCGAAGTCCATGCTGGACGCCGCGGGGCTGGCTGACCGTGTCGGCGCTGAGCTGTGCGGCCCGCGGCGAGCGTCCGCGACCCGACGGGTCCCTCCGAGGCGACCGGCCCCCTCGCGCGCGCGCGACCGACAGCGGCGCTACCGGCCTCCCGGGAAGCCGCGGGCCACAGCGAGGCTGGGGGCGGGGCCGGCGGGTGCTGCCAGTCGCGGCCGCGCGGCCTCCGATTGGCCGGCGCGGGCCGGTGGGCGTGGCTCTCGCGGAGAGGGGCGGGCCCAGCGGGTCCGCTGCCGGGAGTCCCCGGGTCCTGACCCCGGTGGAGCGCGGCGGACGGAAGGTGGGAAGGGACCGCGGCCGACTGGCGTGCGTGGGGCGTTCTGGAAGGGCTCCGGGTGGCCGGCCATGTTTGTGCCTGGCAAGAGCGGCGGGGTTCCAGGAGGGACGACCTCCTCTTGCGCGGACTAAGCCAATCACAATAGCGACCTTTGGCTTCTTGGCTAAAAAACGACCTCGGGAGGAAAAAATTTAAGTACTTACGGAGTTCCTTCCTTCGAGACATCGAAGCCTGGGGCGTACAGGGGAACACAGGCTGCCAAATACGAAACAATCATAAGACGAACCCAAGACAGGCTGTTAGCCACTGCCTAGTTCTAGGGTGTACGTAGAACAACTGCGAAAATTGGCAGATGGGAAAGATCTGGCGGGAAGAAAGTAGTCCACAGCTCGAAGGATCACACACACACACACACACACACACACACACACACACACACGGGGGGGGGGGCTGCATTATTCCGCTCTGGAATTCGTGTTGGGGACAAAGACAAAAGTATACACTCAGGAATAATATGGCGAACACTATTAGATGTGACTTGAACCACAGTTTTAATTAATTAATTTGTTTATTGCTACAGAGCAAATAGTAGTGACAACGATCTGGTTACTCGATAGGAAGCCGGAAATTCACCTGCCAAACCAGGTTCTGGGGAAGCAGAAATTAAAACCAGAAGACCAACAAGGTGTATGACGGTAGCCCCAATCTGAGCGAGCCATTGTTTCCTCCTCACCGGGTTCCTTCTCCACCCTCACTGACTCATCTTGTTCTCCACCCGTTTCCTGACCCCTCCCCCCTCCCTCCTACACATGTGTTCTGTTCACCTGGGTTGAACATGTTAAGAACTGCATCCCCAATTTCCCTTCTCCAACCTGTTTATCCTCCTGTATTTTTACATCTGTTCATGACACCGTAAGCCACCCACTAATCCCAGCTAGAAGGCTGAAGTCATCCACTCAAGCCTCACGGCTCCTCCAGCCTCCCACTTGCAGTCCACACACTGAGCCCTTTGAAACGTCTTGTCTGCCCCATCCTTTCCACTCCCGCTGTCACCGCCTGAGTTGAGACACTCGTTATCGCTCTGCGAAACTCTCGCATCTGCGCCCTAATTCATTTCTCTGCCCTTCAGCCTCACCTATTCTCAGCCTGAGGAGGCTGAACATGCCATTCCCACAACGAAGGCATGCCTAACATAGAGCACCAACAGAAGGTGGGGGCTCCTAACCTCTGACCTCTCCCTATAATTCCCTCTCCTCCCTCCCTCCTCTTTCTGTCCTCCTCCCCCTCTTCTTTATAAAGATTCTTTACATGATGAGTATGCATTGTCTGTGTGTAAGTGCAAATGAGTGCAAGCGGCCTTGGAGGCCAGAAGAGGGCAGCAGATCCCCTGCCCAGGTATTGCGGGTGGCCGTCAGCTGCAGGATGTGGGTCCAACAGAACTCAAGTTCTCCAGAAGAGCAGCAAGCACTCTAAACCACTGAGCCATCTCTCCAGCCTGCTCTCCCCATGTTGGTTATGTGTTTCTGACTCTACTTTCCCAAACATCCCGGGCTTTTTATGGTTCCTGACTTTGTATTAGTCCCTCGACTGGGAACCATCTGCTGCCTGATGCATCCTGAAAATAGAACTCAGAATTTACTTTTGTAGAATACATTCCCAGACCTCATTCCCGTGTTCTAGACTTGTACCTCTCAAGCATTCCTTTGAACACGATGCGAAGTTATTAAAACAGTTTCGTACTCAGGCCTGCTGGCTGGAAGTCAGGAATGTCCATTCTAACGAACGTCCAGAAGCAGCAGCTGCTAGAAAACCACACTTTACGGAGCAAGGCCTTGCAGCGCTGTCTTCTGCATTAACTAATGTGGCTCCTTGTCCTCTTCATTCAAAGCTTTTGCAATTAGAAGGTCTTTGCACCCTTGGTGTCAAGAACAGGTGTTTCCGGAGCAAAACAACTCTCCCTCGAGGTTTCTAATGCTTTTCTTATTATCATCTTTCTCCAGATTTACCTTCTGCAGAAAGATTTTGTAACCTGAGGTCCTAAGACCTTAGTATGGCTGAAAAGTGATAAACATTGGATCACTGTCTCCTCTCTCTCTCTCTCTCTCTCTCTCTCTCTCTCTCTCTCTCTCTTTCTCGTGTGTCTGTCTGTCTGTCTGTCTATATCACCCCCTTCCCCTCAGCTTTCCTTCCTTCCTTTCCCTGGAAGAGAAAACGGCCAGGCGAGGAGTTACTAAATGCAGTCTGAGACTTGTACTTTGAGCAGTATATCCGTATCTCTTCTCCCGTCCCTTCTTCCCCAGCTAGGAAGCCTTACTTAGGCAGCTGGCCATGTGGAATCACACCTGGTGTCTTAGTTACTTTTCCATTGCTGTAAAGAGACAGCATGACCACGGCAACTTATTTTAAAATTATTTAGTTGAGGGTTTACTTGGTTTCAGGAGGGTCCACGGCCATCATGGTGGGGAGTTGGGCAGCAGCATGGCAGGGAGCCGTAGCTGAGAGCTTAAATCTGATCCACAACCCCCCCCCCCTCATACCTCCTCCTACAAGACCACACCCAATTTTCCCTCCTAAACAGTCCAATTGGGAGCTAAACATTCAAACAAATGAGTCTGGGGGGGCATCCTCATTCAAACCACCACACCCTGCACTCCACAAGAAGTCCTCAGCCAGTCCTACATTATTAGTTATTATTATTATTTATTCAACAAATTCTGAGCACCAACCACATGCCGTGCATCTTATCTGACGCCGTTATGACTTGCACAATAATAAGAAGATAGGCTCCCTCTTTATTAGGCTCAATTAAGGGCCCAATCCTTTGCACAAAGCCATTTGTCATCTTATCTTCTGTATATTTTACAGCAGATAACAGGTTAATGAATTACAGACCAGCAAGTCTATTAAGAAGAAATGGGGGCTGGACTTTTTATGCACAGAGGTACAAAGGACATGGGGGTTGAAGTCAAGCAGAGGCTACAGGGGCAAGGAGGAAATGAGAAGTTACATCTAGGACCTGGTCTGAGGGGAATTACATCAGACAAGCTACAGCCTTGAACCCGAGAAGAGGCGAGAAGAACTCCTTAGTGTTCAGAGTCCTCTGTTCCTCGGCTTCCAGCCTCTCCTCCACAGCAACACTACGGGACAGCTGCCGTTCCTATGAATGAACCAGCCTTCTCCTGTGACGGCACCTTTGACCCCCTCCTCTGTTTCCTTCCCTTCCTCCTCTGCTCTCTAAGCTCACTATAGATCATGGCCCCTTCCTAAACATCTCCCGAACATCCTAGTCAGAATCCCACTCTATGTAACACGCAGAATTGCACATGCACAATTTCACAGTAGGATTCTTATTACCACTTATGAGTTTGTTAAATCCTGCCTGGCACCTTCCCCTTAGATGGTCTAGTGGTCACCATGAATGCTGAGGAACAGTTACCAAATCTTCTTACAAAGGCTAGAGGACATTGGATGCCCAAAACTAGAGTTAAAGATGGCCGTGAGCCACGTGATACTGATGCTGGCAAAGAAGCCTGAGTCATTTGGAAGAGCAGTGAGTACTCTCACTGGCTGATCCATCTCTCCAGCCTGACAGGAATGTGTTTTATACCTGAGACTTACCTGAAGCTTCTCCTTGATTTTAATATAGGACTTTAAAAGGATGCAGGGGTCTCCAAAAGTTGTAAGGAATGATAACAAAAAAGTGCAGTTCTACCACGTTCTCCTGAGCTCGTGTGTCCATCGTCATGAAGTGCGATTCTACCATGTTCTCCTAGCTCGTGTGTTAATCATCAGGAAGTACAGGTCTACCATGTTCTCCTTGTTTGTGTGTTAATCATCAGGAAGTACAGGTCTACCATGTTCTCCTGAGCTCCTGTGTTCATCATCAGCCGTTCTCCTGAGCAGCTGTTATATTCCAGGAACTTTTAAATAAATTTATTTAATTAAAATACATTTACATCAGGGCTGGAGAGATGGCTCAGCAGTTAAGAGCACTGGCTGTTCTTCCAGAGGATCTGAGTTCAATTCCAAGCAACCACATAGTGGTTCACAACCATCTATAGTGGGATCTGGTGCCCCCTTCTGACATAAAGTTGTAAATGCAGATAGAGCACCATATGCATAAAATAAATACATCTTTAAACTGTATCTGTAATTACATCATTTTTCCCATCCCCTTCTTGGTAATCATTCCCATGTACTCTTCCTGGCTCCCTCCCAAAATCATGACCTCTTCCACCCTGGGAAGACTATTTCTCTCACTCCCGGCATCCCCCAGTTCCCTGTAGTGCCTTGTCCACGGAGAGGGTCCTGTGAGACGTCCTCCTTCCGTGTTTACACCTCTACCAGTGTTCTACTGCTTCAGGTATCGGTTAGACAGCCATCTTGTTGAGGTGACGCTTCCCTGTCATTTCTAGGGGACACCATCCCACAGCAGCTTTCCTGGTCCTCTGGCTCTCACACTCTTTCCAGCCCCTCCTCTTCCCAAATGTGCCCTGAGCTTTATTGAGGTGGAGGAATTATAGTACAGATGTCCCAGTGAAATTAGATGTCCCACAAACACTTGTTCTCTGCATGTGACTAGGTGTGTTTTTCTCTATGGTCTCCAGTCGCAAAGGTAAACATGTTTGATGCAGGGTGAGAACCCCGCCTATCTGTGGTTATGAAGATAGATAAGCAGACTGGAGTCAGGAATTACATGAGTTTAAAACCGTTCAATAGTGGTGGTGATATGTTCTCTAAGGTCCATTGCCTCAGATGGCAGCAGCCATGACTTCCCTCCTAGTGAATAGACTCACTGGACTAAAGACTCCAACT